TGTGTCTGTGTGTATAATAAAACTCCTCTTATGAGAATGACGAATGTAGGTAAGAATGGCCCCGGAAAAAATGGCCCCAGTAAAAATGGCCCCAAATGACAAGTAGGTAAAAATGGCCCCAATGAAAAAATTCAGTAATAGAAATGATATTATTTTTTTAAATCTTCAAATATTTAAATACTGTAATAAGCAAGAATTGAATCAATAACAGATACAAATAATGTACTGAGATATTATCAGTAAACAACGGCCATTGAACATTTTTTGATAGTTGAAATAAGTTTAAAAACGTTATTCCACTAACAAAATAAAGGAATGACATAGATACAGTACTTCAACTACCAAAATATGCAACTCATAGATAACCACAAAATTCACTTTTGTTAAGTATCAAATGAAATAACTTAACATGTTATAAACAGTGCCAATAAACAGTAGTTAAAGCATGTGGATCAATTGTGTGTTTGAATGACAAGTTCATGTATGGGAAAAGGGAGGCTTACTTTACTTCAACAAATGTTCTGCTTAGAGTTACTTCAAAGATGTATTTGTTAATCAAATATTGTTTTTAAAGTAAACTGAATAATTAGGAATACATTTATTTAAGCAACTTATTTAATTGTATACTTGGTTTCTACTCCCCGCCAACTAAATTTAAGTACCTAAAACTATACTAACTAATGTAAACTGAGATACTATATTATATACATAGTTAGGCCTATGTAAATATGGCAATTATGCTAAGAATTAAAATGGCGTGTAACTGTGAGGGTAAAGTAATTATGGTAGGATTAAATGGTATTGCTAAATCCCAAAAACCTCCTAAAACACACTGTAGAAAACCAAACAATTCAATTGTGATTGACTTACTTGGTATATCAATAAGAAAATTAAATACATGTATTTATAAAAACCTATTTTTTGGTAAAAATGTTTATATTTTTTTGGTGAAAAAATACTTGCAAATACACCACAATCCTAAAAACACACTGCGAACCCCATCCAAACCCTTTAATTACGATTGTAGAACTCTCTTTTTCTAAAAAAAAAAATAATAATTTGATGTTCATATAAACTTATTGTTTGTGGGGTTTACCAATACCCGGATTGAATTTCTAGAAAAAAATTGTGATTTCGCTAAATGCATGATTTATGTTGATTTATTGATTATGTTGTTGCTATTTTTTAACATTTAAATGGAAAAAAAATAAAAAGTGTTATTCATGGCTTTTTTTTTTTTATCTTTGAATATTTTATCATTGAATATGTAATTTCTGCAAAAGTAAAGTGTAAATGGCAATTTATTTGATGTTAGATTCCTTTTTAAAAAAATGCATATAATGATTTTTTTTAAATCTATATAATGTAATATTGTGTGTATGTGTGTATAATAAAACTCCTCTTATGAGAATGACGAATGTAGGTAAGAATGGCCCCGGAAAAAATGGCCCCAGTAAAAATGGCCCCAAATGACAAGTAGGTAAAAATGGCCCCAATGAAAAAATTAAGTAATAGAAATGATATTATTTTTTTAAATCTTCAAATAATACAGAATTTTATTATTGGGGCCATTTTTACCTACCATTTGGGGCCAATTTTTTCCCGGGCCATTTTTACCGGGGCCATTTTTTCCTGGGCCATTCTTACCGTAGATCAGCTATCAATCAAAACCTCGAAGCTTTATCAACAACCGAGCAATTAAATTTAGCTGGTAATTCCATAGACTATAGTGCCAGCTGGCCCCAAATCATCCTCATTGGTAATCCCTGATACAACACTGAAATGCGATACACCCTCTAATTCCAGTCATCTAATTCTCATCTTAATTCACTCAGTGATTGCATCATACCAGTTTAGTCGCTAGAATGGGTCTAGAAAGGAAACAATAATAAATATCAAGGAACGTGTGACCAGTCAATGGACTGTAGGCCTATGGCATGTTTATTTAAATGGTTCATAATGTAATATAATTATTGCTGTGGATATTATATGCTCTAACTTGCCTGATTGAATGAGTTTACATTGCAATCGGTGTCTATATACCAAAACGTAAAATACAGGTAAACTATTCCAATGAGGTCTCAAAAAATAAATGACATAATAAGTATCCAAAACTGTAAATTGATAACACAGGGAATATGAAAAAAATGTTTTAAAATGTAAAATAAGAATGAATGATAGATAATTATTATGTTAGCTTGATTCTGGCAGTCAAAGCAACTTTTTTTCGTGTGTAAACAACGTTCTTAATTTTAAATTCCCCTTTAGGAAGAATATACTAAGTCAGGAAATATCTCATTCATTCCATTGATTTGGACAACTGCACTACTTTAAATTTACATATCAAACTCCTTTGGACTTCTTAGTTTCGTTTCTAATGTTCAAAGCATAGTAAAAGAACCAGATACCGTAACTTTGGCCATTTCCGGCCATAATCTAGAGGTACTATAATCATATTCTTTCTTACCTCACTCCCAAGTGGATGGACACCATATCTGTAGAAGTCTGTCCCTTTGCCCCCTCTACTTCGAATTTCTGGATCCGCCACTGGTAAATGTAATTTTTGTTGTTTTTTTGTTATAGATATAAAGTCTACTAATATTAAATATAATTCTCCCGACGAATTGTTTTTTTTCTACCCGACGAATTGTTGCCTGCTCCCCTCGGCCCGTAAACGTGTGAAAGGGCCATTATGAAAAAATTAAGGATTTATTTCAAGATAACATTTATTAGCTGGTTTTCGTGATACATGCGTTCTTTAACTAATGTTTTCACATTAATTTTTTTTTAATTACCGGTTTTATTTTTGTGATTTTGTTTTTTTACAAATTTAATGTCATCACATACAAATTGAAATCAATATGAATTGCCAAATTAGGCTACCACTAATTGATTAATAGACTGTTCCGCTAAGCCCCATCCTTTGTATATTGTTGCTAAGGTCTTTGTGGTACAAGCACGTATTCCTAGATCTTTTTTTGACTGGTCAGTTGTTCTTGATACGCTCCGGAAAAAAGTGCATTGTCTTGCCAACCACTATGGTGGGTGATGCAAATGGCTGAAATTTGTTCAACAGTATTCATCCAACTGTCTCGTAAGCATAATTTCATACGTTAGTCTAGGAGCGGATTTAGGGAGAGAAACGGGGGAATTCTCCCCCTCGGCTTTGCCACCGCCTGTTTTTATTTTTTTAAACCCAAAATACAAAACTATTACAATATTTTTTAACAGCCATAAATTATACAAAGTTATATACTATTATTGAGTAAGCCTAATTCAATATCACAGGGATTTTTTTTTTTATTGAATGAACAACATCGCACTTCTGGGCAGACGATAAGATTTTTTTTATGACGACCCCGGGCCTCTTTTCCTATGACGTCTCTCTTTTAGCTCTATTGAAAAATCCGCCCCTCTTTTCAAAAGTCCTCGATCCGCCTTTGTTGTGCTTTCTTGCAATATGCTTTTTGAAACTCACCATTTCAACATTTATATTATTTGAACACTAATTATAATTCTATAACTGGATAATGGATATCATGGTGCAATAAACTGTACCGTATAGCCTGGCCTATCCTATAGGCGTAACTTAGCACCCCCCCCCCGCACCCTCAGTGGCATAATAAATAGTCACATAATTATAATGCGTAACACGGAGTAGCCCCAGTGTCGTGATCATCAACAGGTATCCCCAACTTATTACAAGTGCCTATTTAGTTAAGAGTACGGTTTCAACTAGTGATTTTCCTGTAATTCACTTCAGGTCGCACCATTTTACTTCAATACCGGTAACATTTTTACCAACCAATCTATTTTATCGTCAAGAATATCACTTACACGCTGCCTTCTTTGTATTATATTTAACCATCATTATACATACTAATACTTAGCTTAACACTCAGTTCAGGTGGAAATGATGGACAAAAAGGAATAGTATTCTTTTCTTTTTTTGTCGAAGGAATCTAATCTAATCAACCAATAAATCAATTAATGATGGCTTAGTTAATATGATTATGCATATTAAATAAAAAAAAATTAATTTTATTAACATACATTAATAAGAAGATTGACTGTATTATGTACTGTAAATAACATTTAACGTGCAGGCCATTTTGTGCCTGACAATAAATCATGGATCTAGTGCTGCCTTTGTTTGAAAATAGATAGTTTGTTACCTTAGTCTTGAACGAATTCTTAATTGTGATTAGATGGATTGGATTAAGACAATAACATACCTAATTTTATAAATTATGTAATCCTCTCGATATTGATATTACTCACCAAATGCTCTCCTACTTGTTCTATTTACCGCTCACTCAAAACGAAAATGAACAAAAATGCAGTAAACAAATTAGTTTGCATCTAATTACTCAAAAAAAGCTGGTAATTTGTTTGGCTGAAGTATTTGGAAGCTAAATGCTGTATAGATCACAACCACCATTAAATTAACAGATGCTGTCGATATTGTGAAGTGTATTGTGGCGCCTACCATGAAATGTTGCAGAAAAAGAATCTAAATTAAGATTCACATTGGCGGATACAGAATATTGTTGGTGGCAAGAGTGGCAATCTAGGACATATAGTATAAAGGGGCGGGGGCGGAACCTATGAACAAGAGATGAAGGTTTGGGGGCTCCCTTTGTGGGGTCCAGTACCTGGTGTGGAATTTGTCTTGCATACGTAAATGCCTCCAATTCAACGATCCATTTGACTGAAATCCATCTTAAATCTTTATTATAATATATATTTATAGGCCTATAAGGTGATATGTCATAATTATTAATTTGACACGGGAATGTATTATTGTCGTTCCCTCTTTGCGTGTCCA